GCGGGGCGGGCCGGAGATCCCGTAGCGGGATGGAGATCCTGTACCGGGTTGGGGGGCCGGTACCGGGATGGGGACACCTACCGGCTCCTATCCCGGAGTGGGGGGCCCGCACCGGGATGGAGATGCCGTAACGGTACCCGTACCGGGATGGGGACCCGGTACCGGCATGGGGTGTCCTGTACCGCGATGGGCGACCTGGTACCAGCCCCTCTCCCGGGATGGGGGCCCGGTACCGGCGTGAGGGACTTGCACCAGCACCCATACTGGGATGGAGACCCCGTAACGGCACCCGTTCCGGGATGGGGACCTGGTACTGGCATGGAGCATCCCGTACCGGGATGGGAGGTCCCATACGGGGATGGGGACCTGGCAGCGGCATGGGGTGTCCCGTACCGCGACGGGGGACCCATATCGGTATCTGTCCTGGGATGTGGACCCGGTACCGGCATGAGGGACCTGTACCAGCACCCATACTGGGATGGGGAGTCCCGTCCCAGCACCCGTACTGGGTTGGGACGTCCTGTACCGGGAGGGGAGCTCTCGTACCGGCACCTGTACCGGGATGGGGACCCGGTACCAGGACGGGGTGTCCCGTACCGGGATGGGAGGTCCCATTCCAGCACCCATACTGGGATGGGGACTCGCTATGGGAATGGGGCGTCCTGTACCAGAATGGGGGACCCCATGTTGGAACCTGTACTGGGATGAGGGCCCAGTACTGGGATGGAGATCCCCTACGGGCACCCCTGCCGGGATGGGAGCCCAGTGCCGGGATGGGGTCCTGCGCTGGGGTGGGGGGTCCCACAGCAGCACCCATACCGGCACTGGGGTTTGATCCCAGAAGGGGGGTGTCATGTTGGCACCTGTACCAGGATGGAGAAACCCAGACCACGACGGGGGTCCAGGACTGGAATTGGGGTCCCATGCTGGCACCTGTGCTGGGAGGAGATCCTGCACCGGGCTGGGGGTCCCGTACTGGCACCCACACTGAGCGATGGGGGGGGGGTCCCACACTGGTGCCTGTACCTGGCAAGGGATGGGGGAGACCTGGGGGACCCCTCACTAGGAGGGTGTTTGACAACCCCTTGCAGGGGGACCCGGGACCCCTCTTCTGTCCCAATGGCACCCTGAGCTCTCCCTTTGGACCTGCACCCAGCAGAGACCCTCACCCCCTTGGGGTAACCGCACGGGGCCTCAGCCCTGCTTCACCCACCAGGACCCCTGGCCTGGGGACCCTCTCTCCTGCTGGGGTGACCCCTGCCACCCCTTTCCCCTGCTGCACCCTGGGACCCTGGCGCTCGAGGCACCCTGACCCCATGGCATAGCCCACCCCCTGCCCCAGCACCCCGGAGGAGTCCTGCCCCTTCCCCTCCTTCCTCATCCTCCCAGCTTTCTGTGCTGAGC